GTTTGATAATTGCGTCAAAAATTTTGAAAGAGAGTTCGATGGATGGATTTGTTTTCTGAAATAAACATTTGATAGGGATTAATGCCTTTTCAGCCTTCACTGACAAATTGTACAGAGCCTTGCTCCATGACAACCTTGATGAGAACAATATGCCTAAATAGTTATAGTACGTGACACACTCTAACAAATTGTTTCCCAGGAAAAACCTTTCATTATTCCTTAGTGCTCCCCCATTCCTAAATACAACAACCTTGGTTTTTATGGTGTTCACAGATAAATTAAATTCAGTACAAAAGCTCCTTTAAGCTGACAATAAGGTGGTGCCATATGGAATACCTTGCTGTCAATAATCAGCCTTTAATCATAGTAAATAAAACAGGTCAATTCTAGTGTCGAGCAGTTATCTCAAGCTTTTAGAAACATTTTTTTTAAAAAAGAAACACGAACGTTCGGTGGTCAGGTGAAATTCTAAACTAGTACTAGTAGTTTTCCTGGACAAACGCGTGCAGGGTGACGTCAATACTTTCTTTTGTCGCTTTCCATTGGCAGGTGATTGTTGTGTTTTAACATTGTGCATTAAAGAAAGGTGTATTTTTTTTAATAGTCGTGATAATGGATGTAAGATCACAATATTACCTGTCCCGTCGCTACATCACTCGTTTTCCCAACCTGTGTTACATTGTTAAGTGCTCAACATTTCAAAAGAGACAACATTTTAGTACACATTTTAATTGTATATTATCTAATTATAATTTTTACATTTTAAATATATTTATATACCAATCTGATTAAAATACAGATCTATATTTCGTTCGTTTTTTATACTTGCAATGGCCTACACTACATGAAGATCTGACAAGTTATAGCGATAGGTCACGTCAGGGATCAAAAGACCGATTTATGATTCTATGACGTCAGACATTTGATTAACCAATCAGCATTGATGTTACTAGTGGATTACCCACAATTCCGTAAAAACACGTCTAAAGCTCCCCGTAACAGACCGTTTCATTGGCTTATCCCTGACACCATTCAGAACACGAGTTAAATAACAACTCTTCCAGATCCAAGTGTAGTAAAGACAAGTAAAACGAAAATTTGAATTATAAAAACGAAACGAAATAGGATCTGTGTTTTAACCAGATGGTTTATATACATAAAAGTATTGTGGTATGTTTTTGATTTTATTCACTGTATGTGATATGTTTTTAATTTTACTTACTAATCTGTGTTATTTGCTTTTATTTTGTGTATAAATGTAATTTTGTGATACAACTAAAAAAGCAACCAACTGACCGCATCAGACTTTGAAATGTATGATAACGATCATTTGTCAATAGCAGGAAGCTAGTCTCTAGTTTTCCCCCATCAAAAGTGATGAAATAGGTCGTGCAATCGAAAAAGAACGGCTATATAAAATTTCCATCGCGTGTCGGTGTTTTTGGTCGAACTACTCTTATGCACTGGGAGATTTTCCTTCAAAAGTTTAAAGACTACGAACTACAATGTTGTAGTCATTAGAGAAGTAACAGAATAGTGACTTTTTATAGCGGGTGAATCGATGGGGTTTAACGTTCTACTTTTCAGCACAAACGGAGCTAATGAAGAAGGACATATTATTTCATGCGGGGGTTGGGGGGTTGGATGGCCGAATGGTTAGCACGTGCGGACTGTATCATAAATCCTGTCATTGAGTCAACTGGCGTCGTTTCGAATCCCCGGTTGTACGTGACTAGGAGTAGGGTCGCCTGTCCAACCTCGTGGGTTTTCTCCGGGTCTTCCGGTTTCTTCCCACTGCTAAAAACCCCTACGCGCAAGCTAATTATTGAAATAAAATTAAACCATAGTCCCGAAATGACCTAGTTTATGTCGAGTGGACGTTAAACCCCATTTATCTCTCTCTCTCTCTATTTCATGCGGTGTGTGTGCTAAGAGAGACATTTTGCGTAGACAGTTATTGAATTCCAACTGACACTGGTTATTTTACTTGCACGCCAAGGTGTACTCGGGGCCTCGGTTTATTTGGTTCACGCGAACGACTAGACACTGTTTCTTGCCAGACCCTCGTTCTGCTATAGTGTATATAGATAGTGTAGTTATCGAGTATTTCTATAGGCATCTATAACAAAACGATATCTATTTTCACGACGAAATAATTTTTTTTAATCTGTTTCACAGAGGTATTGTGAAAGCCTTCTTATATCTGTGTATTAGCTGACTGACTTTTATAAGTCTTCTACTGGCAAAATGGTGCCTTTTACTCATTTTATATACCCATTTACACTAAATAGGAAATATTTTTTTTATCTAGATATACTTCAAACACCTTTATTTCTTTTTCTAATAAATCACAAAAAATGTTTTAGAATTTAATTGGCAGACGGAAAAAAAGTTAATATCGTGAGCTCATTTTAAAAGCCGCACCGATTTCATCCCTCTTTGTGATTGTAGCGGCCTTGTGAATATTTACTGATGATCAGTGTGAAATGTTATGTATAGTGTTGCTAAGTAAAGGGAGGAAACTACCATGAGCGTACTTGAAGGCAGACCACCATTAATTTCCCTCATTGTTAATTCTATCTCTTTGCCCGGCGCCAACTTTCACCCAAATTTTTGTTGGGCTGAATGCTTTTCACTACAGACAGAGAAAGAAATGGTCATGTTAGTATATTAAAAGCATGTAACTATTCACAGTACATATCACCGTGACCAACCTGTTAACCTCCCTCCTGTAAATCGTGAAAATTACCAACAAAACCTGACAATATAGTAAGGGAGCTAGGTTCACTCTGGTTCGAAAATCGCGTACAAAAATTCTACTATGGTGGATGAGTGGACTTAGGTACCCGGTCCTCTGAACCTTGATTCTTAAGTTGCGGGTCCCCTTCCCATGGGTGTTGGGGTCCGACAAAACATCGAAATTTCGATTTTAATTCGACTTTTGCCTAAAACAATCAACTTTCGTGCATAAGTCGACCAACTGCAGATGTCGCCAACCGACCCTTCCTTTCCCCTTATGAGTTAATTCGACTTCCACGTACAACATTAATTTTTTCGTTAAAAGTTTCACTGTTGGTCCGCTAGAACATAGCACTAACTTAAGAACGCGAAATCCCCTTCTGTACCCAGATAAGAACGACAAAACGACTGGGCGCATGGGTGAAATGACCAAAATAACGATTTAATTCGACTTTTGCATACAGCGATTTACTTTCGTGCTTACGTTGACCAACCTCAGATGTCATCAAAAACACTGCTTAAGAAGACCCACGAACCTTCCTCGCTTAAGAACACCCTTTTACCCCTCTGAGAGATGAGTTAATTCGACTTCCGGGTACAATTTTTTCTTTAAACGTTTCCATATTAGTCCACGGGTTATGTTCGGGTTTTATATAGCTCGGATCTCGGAGAAGGGAGCTGATTTAGTTGATGATCCTAAAAGCTCCAGACGTCCATTCTGTTTCATCAAAATACAATCTGTACGAAACGTCATACTCATGATATTCCAGGATCTTCCAGATGGTTTGATATTTTCATTAAGGACTCCAATGAATTGCTCTCGTACGGTGTTGTCGACCTACTCACTAATGTGCCAAGAGAAAAAGCTTTGATTTCAGAGTTCTTGAAACCCGTATTCGACAACTTTCTACACCAATGGATACATCACTACAAGTTGATACCATTATTCCTTTGATCAAGCAATGCCTGGAATCCACATATTTCACATGGGGAAAAAACTTTTATGGACAGATCCATAGTTTACCGATGGAAAGTCCTTTATTCCCGCTGATTTCCGAAATTTACAAGCTGTCACTAGAAGAAGTCACATTAACCGCTCCTATGAATAACACCTACGTCATGTTACAAAAAGAAGATGATACTGTCGTCCCCCTTAATCCCTTAACAACCAACATCCAAGAATGAAGTTCACAATGGAGAATGAAACCAACAGCAGCCTCCCATTTCTTAATTTAATGGTAAGAAGAGAGAACTCTAATGTCACCACCTCAGTGTACAGAAAACCAACACACATGGATCAATATATCTACTACAAATCTAATCACCCAAATGCATAAAAAGCAGGCATTATCACCACGTTTACTAAAAGAGACAAAACCATTTGTGACTCCGAATCCCTTAAATTTCAAAGAAACAGCCCAGTCCATGTCAGGAATCAAAGTCTTGCAATTCTAATCAAGAGTTTTTTGGTTCCCCATTGATGTCTGTGATATTATGGCGCTTGTCTCATTACTGAACATTTTAATAAATTTTACGTGTTTTCGCAAAATAATTGAGAATTGGTATCAGGTATGAAAAGGTAAGCATACCATGTATCATGCAAGATACCCGTGAGAAATTTTTGAATATGATTTTTCTCTTCAGTGCTTTTGTTTGCAAGGTACTTCAGATTTGATCTGTAAATACTAACCGTTTCTTGTCAATAATATCTAAACAACAAATATTTGGATTTAAACATAAGTACATGTTTGGTCAGATAAAAGAACATATCGCAACTACACGTATCTTATTAATGAAATCAAATAAAGGTTTGAATATTATGGGGGTGGGCTAGGGGCTACGAATATAAACACTATCTGGAACTATTATTCTACCGTGCTGTATGACGTGGTCTTAGAGACCAAGCGAGATGCGCATGCTTAGACCAGATGATGTCATTAGCATGCTGACTTTCACCGTGAAAGCACGGTGTCTGATTGTCTGGGGAAAAAACCTAAGCATTCTTCGATACTTGACAGAATTGTCACTTTATTATCATAATTTTCGATAATTAATAAGCACACCAAGGTGGTGGAAAATTTTAAGGCTAAAATTAGTCTTATCTCATTGAAAATTGTCCCCACGCTGTCGCCATTAAAGTTCAAGAAATAGCCTAAGTAATAAATAAAATGGCGTCAGTGCCTGCTCGGTCCAAATCTGTTGGGCCCCATTGCTGAGAATTTTGATTTGGCAAGCCAAATATTTGATAAAAACGCCAAAAAATGCAAAAAAGTTATCATGAAGAAGAATTTGACATATTTAAGCGCGAAATGCGTAAATTACACGAAGAGTCCGTTAAAGATTTAAGGCAAACTATAGAAGTTTCATTAAAAGATAATTTACGACAGTCGGTTGAAAGTAGACCGGATACACGACCTAATAAGGGTACTGATATTGTCAACAAACGAAAGCGGCAATATCATCACAGTGTTAGTGAGATTTCTGACTCGTCTGAACTAAAGGTTTTCAAACAAGCAACAGCAACAAAAAAGGAAGTCGAAATTACGAATCAAATTGACGATTTATTGGCTGATGAAAATTCAAGTGAGCCAGTCACACAAAACTCTGACTTCGATGTTTTCGAAGAGGCATTAGAAACAGAATACTGCACAAACGATGAAAAAGTTGGGAAGAATATTAGCAATAAGATTGCTGGTATAGTTAATGATATTTTTTCTCATAGTATGACAGATGAGAAAATTAAAGAGATATTTGACAAGTATCCTAGGCCTGGGAATATAGATGTCTTCTTGCCTAGAGTTAACAGAGAAATTTGGTCAAACATTAAGCCACAGACAAGATCTTCAGACATCAAGTACCAGAAAACTGAGGATAGGATAATCAAAACAGCTTATGCATTAACGAACATTGTTGATCAATTAATGATTATCAAGAAGCAACCAAATAATATCAGTATGGCTGAAACGATCTCTAGTATTACTAATGTAATCAAAATGAGTATGGACTCCCTAACATTGTTAGGCCATTCTTATCAAGAAATAAATCAAAGGCGAAGAGCTCGATCTGAATTTTAGGTTTAACCAACTTTGTAGTGCTACTTTGGCATCTGATTTAGGGCCTTCTAAGTACCTTTTTGGAGATGAACTGGGTGAAAGATCTGAAAGAGGCCAGTCAAGTTAGTTCTAATGTATCCTATACCGGTACTCGCTATAATAGCTATCAACCTAAAAGTTTTATGCCTGGACCAAATAATAAAAGGCCTTTTTTAGGGTACAGGAAGGGCCTGAATCACCAGAACACTTCCAGGAGATTGGGTCCAAACCAAAAGTGGCAAGGAAGGGAGAAATATCAGAAAGAAACTCAGAGAAAGTAATACTTAATAGAAATTCACCCAATCATTTGGTGAGTAACATTATTTTAGCTAGTAAGAATACATGGTTATGTTTTAAACAAGCTTTAGAAATTAACTTATTACAATTGGTTAATAATTTTCAAGCAGGAAAATTGAAAGAGCATTTTGGATACTGGAAAACTTTAACATCAGATAAACATATCTTAAATGATATTTTGGGTGTTAGTATTGAATTAAATAATATTCCAGAGCAGAATTTTATACCATATCCATATAAGTTTGCACAAGACAAATGTCAAACCATATCTAAACAAATTTCAAAATTACTGAAAAGGGGAATTATTGAGGAAACTGAACATGAAAAGAATGAATATATTTCTAATATTTTCACAAGGGATAAAAAAAAAGATGGATCTTTACGAATCATTCTTGATTTAAAACAGTTCAATGATGAGGTGATATATAGGCATTTTAAAATGGACACTTTACAACATGCTCTAAATTTGATAACACCTAATTGTTATATGGCATCAGTAGATTGGTCTGATGTTTACTTTACTGTTAATATAAAGAAATCGCACAGAAGATATCTCAAATTCATATGGAATAACAAACTCTTTCAATTTACTTGTTTACCCAATGGGTTAGGTTCGGCACCAAGACAGTTTACTAAGATAACAAAGGTGCTATTTTCATATTTAAGAAAATTGGGACATTTAAATACTTCATTTATCGATGACTGTTTTCTGGTAGGAGACTCTTTACAAGACTGTAGAACTAATGTTACTGTTACAGTTATTTGTTCTTTGTTAGCTGGATTCACTATTCATCCTGAGAAATCAGTGATCGAACCAATGCAATCAATTACTTACCTAGGTTTTGTTTTAAATTCCGTCCAAATGACAATAAAATTAACACAAGCAAAAGCATTGCATTTAAAACTGGCTTGTACTGAATTATTGGGAGAAAATACATTCACAATAAGGAAGTTAGCTCAAGTGATAGGCTATATGGTTTCTACTTTCCCAGCAGTACCTTATTCTCAATTATATTACAGGAGATGTGATAATTATAAAGCCAAAGTTCTTAGATTAAATAAAGGTAATTTTGAGGCCCGTGTTGAACTGCCCTTTGATTGCAAATCTGATATCAGCTTTTTGGATATCGAACATCGAAAAAGCTGAAAAGTCATTGATTTCTAGTAATCTCTCAATAACCCTAAAATCTGATGCGAGCAAAAAAAGGGTGGGGGGGTATTTATACTAGCAGTTCAGGTCTGGTAACAAAGGCCACTGGTGGACATTGGTCAGATAACGAACAAACTTGTCATATTAATGAACTTGAGTTGTTAGCAGCCAAGTTTACATTGTTGACGTTCTGTAAAGACATGTCAGATGTTCATATTTTGTTACAAATTGATAATACTACGGCAGTGTCATATGTGAACAATCAAGGGGGAAAAAATGTCGTATACAATGAGATTATTAGACACGTTTGAATGGTCTATAGATAAAAATATAAGGCTTACAGCAGCTTATATTCCTGGAGTCTTAAATATAGAAGCAGATACGCAAAGTCGTATGTCACACGATAATGTAGAATGGAAATTAGATTCTAATATTTTCCAAAAAATATTTCGCAAGTTTGATTTAACCCCTGACATTGATTTATTTGCTTCACGCATAAATCACCAACTGCCATTATATTACTCTTATAAGCCTGACCCTTTTGCTAAGGTCATTGACGCTTTTTCAGTCCCATGGAACACTTCTGAATTTTATGCTTTCCCACCTTTTTGCCTAATGGGTAGAGTATTGGCTAAAATTGAAATTGAAAAAGTTAGTGGTATTTTGGTTATTCCATGGTGGACAACCCAGCATTGGTTTTCGAAAGTAATCAGATCATTAATTGATTATCCTTTTATATTACCTAGGATAGAAACAATACTGAGTCACCCAAACAAATGTCCATTAAAAGATTTGCCGAAGATGAAACTACTGGCACTCAGAATATCGGGAGATTCTTCACTAATTACAAGATTTCAAAACAAGCTAAAGACATCATTTCATCCTCCTGTATAAAAAGTACCGAAAAACAGTATAACACATACATCAAAAGATGGATACAGTACAGTGTTGAAAGGGAAGTTGATCCCTTTTCTCCACCTTTAGAAGTGGTTATAGAGTTTTTAACTAGTCTTTACAATCAAAATCTCTAATACAGTGCTATTAATACAGCTAGATCTGCGCTGTCTACAATAATTATTATTGACAATAAACCAGTTGGAACAATTCCAGTCATTGTGCGCTTTATGAAAGGTGTATTTAATTTGAGACCTTCAGTGCCAAGGAATAGGGTCATTTGGGACACTAGTGTTGTGCTTAAGTATTTGAGAACTTTGTCTCCAGTGAAGAAAATTACTTTAAAGATGTTGACATTTAAATTAGTTACTTTATTAGCACTTTTGACAGGGCAAAGGATTCAAGCTCTACATTTAATGGATGTTCGCAATATAACTGTGAATAATTCTGGTATCAAAATTAGACATGGTGATCTATTGAAGCAAACAAGACCAGGATATCAACAAGGAGAACTTGTGATTAAAGCATATGCTCCCGATAGGAGACTATGTATTGTGACAGTGATTAATGAATATTTTAAGAGAACTGAGGAAGTTCGTTCCGAGAAAAACCTTTCAAAACTATTTTTAAGTTATGTTAAACCTTATAATCAAGTTTCACGAGACACAATCTCTAGGTGGCTGAAATCTGTTCTTAAAATGTCTGGAATTGATATGAGCATTTTTGTACCTTATAGTATTCGCTCAGCTGCATGTGCAGTAGCAAGTAAAGAGAAGGTTCCTATTAGAACAATTGTAGATACAGCAGGTTGGTCAAATGAGTCAACATTTAGACAGTATTATGATAAACCTTTAGTGGATGAGGGTGTGTTCTCAGAAACTATTTTGAATAGAGCTACTATTTAATTGTTTAATTTGAACTGTATTGTATTGGATTTCTTGTGAAAAAATAGTGATACTTTACATTATAATTGTTGTTGTTCATGGTTACAACTTTAAAAATCTCGCTTGGTCTCTAAGACCACGTCATACAGCATGGTAGAATTTATAAATTAAACGAGACTTACCTGTAAGGTGAAGTTTGATTGTTATTCTACCATTGCTGTTGACGTATCTTAGAGATCAAGTGCCCACCCTTTTTGATAACCCTTCCCTTACTTAAGAATTGTGGAATTTGGGTTGTTTTTGGTACATTGACATGCATGTTTTTGTAACCATTCACACTTTGAAATATGACATCATCTGGTCCTTGCATGCGCATCTCACTTAATCTCTAAGATACGTCAACAGCAATGGTAGAATTACAATCAAACTTCACCTTACAGGTAAGTCTCGTTTAATTTATAAATTATTTTAATAGGTTTACTAGTGTTACAATCTTTTTTATACTTTGGATGACCTACACTACATGAAGATCTGACCAGATGTACTGGGAGGTCGCGTCAGGGGTCATACGATGGCCGAATATCATTAGGTCTGTCATTGAGTCAACTGGCGGGGTTTCGATTCCCCGGTTGTACGTGACAATGAGTAGGATCGCCTGTCCAACCTCGTGGTCCTCCGGTTTCCTCCCACTGCTAAAGACCCCTACGCGCAACCAAATTATTGAAATAAAATTGAACCATGTGTTAGTCCCGAAATGACCTAGTTTGTGTTGAGTGGGCGTTAAACCCCATTTCTCTCCCTCTCTCCCATGACGTCAGACATTGATTAATAAATCAGCGTTGACGTTTTATAGGAGTTTACCTACAGTTTTGTGCAGAGCACGCCAAGAATTCGCAGTAACAGACCGTTTCATAGGCTAATTCCTCACACCAACTAAACGTCTGTTATACAACAACTCTTCCAGATCCTAGTGTTGCAAAGACAAGTAAAACGAAATTTTGAACTATAAAAAACGAAACGAAATAGGATCTGTGTTTTAATCAGATTGCTTATAATATAATACACAATTAAAGCCCCAACATTCCATAATGAGAGTTAAAACCATTATCTAGTGATTTCACACCGTCATCATTCTCTTAGATAATTATATTGAAATAATAATTTTGCTTTTTAGCAGTCCATTCAACATGAATAAGGTTTTGTACTTACATAAAAACAAATTGCATTAAATTAGTACAATTTTTTACTTTTGAGATACATGCGAACTATTTGGCTTGTTGGGATATATGTGAACTATTTGGCTTGTTGGGTTTTTAATAAAACTCTATTTAACCCTTTTTGTATTATTTGATCACCATGTAAAATTATTTGTAATTTAATGCTTGGACCATTTAAACATCTTTTAGGAAACCAATTAGATACTAATATTACCCTACCATATTTGTGGTTTTTTTGGTCAGATTTAGAACCCAGTTATACATGTATTTTATTTTCATGCTTCACTGGTATTACCTAAATGGTATCTTAGAAAGATATTGATTCAGTGAACTATTAAAGACGATGGGTATCCGCATGATGCAAGGTATGCTTACCTTTTCACACCTGATACTACTTCTCAATTATTTTGAGAAATCACAATGTCTGAAATTTTTATCGTATTTTTAAATGGTATAGTAGGGAATAATCGACCGGAAATCAATTGAATTCCAACTGTCACAGTTCAGTTGAATCGTTATGTCTGTCATTGATGAGTCAAGTGGTTTGGTTTCGATTTGCCGGTTGTACGTGACAAGAAGTAGGGTCGTAATGTCCAACCTTGCGGGTCTTGCGATTTCCTCCCTCTGCTAAAGCCATCTACGCTCAAGTGAATTATTTTAAAAAATTGAACCATATATGTTAGCCCCGAAATATCGGTGTCTGTACGGAAGCCTATTCATTTTCTTTGATTAGCATTTGTTTTAAGAGTCTTTTTTTAGAATAAGACCCATAATAATATAGTAAAATTTGAATTGAATAATTCGCTTGGCGTAGGGTCTTTAACAATAGTAGGAAACGGAGAACCCGGAGAAATCCTATTAGATTGGGCATGCGACCCCACATTAGAAAGTATCAATATGGTATATTTAATTTATCGACACAGATGGCCTGTGGCAGTCGAGCAGTATGTCACTGGTCTCACCAATAGAATGTCATGGATTCCAATCTCGGTATGAGCCGAGTAGAATCTTTAGGATTTTTCAAGCCCGAGATTAATAAATGGAACAGCATACAGAGTTTCATCTGTGTAAATAAAGGCGAGGCCGGAAAAGAGCTCTGGCATTTGAAATTTGAAGAGGAGGGGTAGGACACGCCGCTGACCAACAGAAGTCCCCGCCCCCATTGCACTGCACATGAAATTTAACTACTGATAGTCTTAAAATGACCGAAGTATTGTATTGACTATACTTTAAACACCATTTCATTCTATTCCATATCAACAAAACATTGGTTAAAAATGAAGCGATCGACTGCCCCCGTTTAAAAAGAAGCGCACGTACTAATATCTTTTAACGATTCATATTAGTCGGATATCAATCCAAGGCGAATAGGACATAATCTTGTATTGGTGACAGTGAGTTTCGTTTCTTTTTATATATGATTCATATTAGTCGGATATCAATCCAAGGCGAATAGGACATAATCTTGTATTGGTGACAGTGAGTTTCGTTTCTTTTTATATATGTAAATACTTTTACAACACACAATTATACCCCACTGAGGTAAACTGGTAACAAACACAGTCTATATAATGTTCTATGAATAAATTGACTGCGTTGAATCACCCGGCTATATTTGCTTAGCGTCGTTTTGGTTGATCGCCATTTTGGGGCGATCCCCTATTAAATTCACACTTAAAAACGATAGACATATTTGGATTTTATGTGTTTAAAATAGGTAATATTTGGGATAGATTGTGTGATTTAGGTTACAAGGTAAGTTTATTATGTTTATTTTCCGTGTTAAGAACTCTTTTTTTATCAACAAATATTTAGCCACATATCCTGCAATTTATCCTAGGATATATCGCTTCACTTTGCTTTAAATGGAATAGAGTGGAGAGAGAGAGAGAGAGAGAGAGAGAGAGATATGAGGTTTAACGTCCACTCCACAAAACTAGGTCATTTCGGGACTAACACATGGTTCAATTTTATTTCAATAATTCGCTCGCGCGTAGGGTTCTTTAAGTGGGAGGAAACCGGTTAGACAGGCGACCCTACTCCTTGTCACGTACAACGGGGAAATCGAAACCACGCCAGATGACTCAATGACAGACCGTATGATACAGGGCGCGCGTGTTAACCATTTGGCCATCCAAACCGCAGGAATAGAGTGGAGTTTAATGTTTCCTCAACACAATATCTCGGTCATATTGAGACAAACGTATGGTATGGTATTGTTTTCAGTTCTATAGTTTGCAACTACCAAGGCTTCTTTTACATGCACACCAATGTATACACTGGTGGACCTAGGTTTTCCGTTCTGTTCGAACAACTGGGCACATTTTTATTTGTTCATTCCATTTCAAATGACAGGAAACCTATGCTCTCGGACCTATCATACCGCCTTCATTTCAGATAAAAATAATGTTTTGTTGAAGGAAAGAATAAATTGATATCTCAGTATTTAAACATCCCTATATAAACAGGTACTGGGAAACCATCTTGTCAGAGGAATTCTGGCTTGTAGTGAGCATCTTTCTGCGCAGAGTATTACTCGACCGATGTAAACAAGCTGTTAGGTTTCTTTGGAGACAAAAACCTTGAAACCCTACAGTTTTTTGGGCGTAATGCAAATGCATGATCAAAACGTCAATCTGCAAAAATAGATATGGAATATGTAATTGATTTATTTTGTTTTAAACTAGTTGTAGAATGCCTACAATCAACACGAAAATGTTGTCGTTTTGTACATGTCCATACCATACCACAGTCGCACAAAGGTCTATTTTACAAACTAGGATGTTCCTTCAATAAAAGGCTTTGATGAATAGTTTAGCACAAATCCAATGTCATTACAAACGTCGATCCAGTTAGAGACTATCTTCCATTGTAGTATTATACACAAGTTTTTTGATTAATTTCGCTTTAAGCACCTTGCATGGTCTACACAGCGTGGGTGTCACAATGACCCATTATGTACCTTTACAATGATATTTTTTAAAATTTATTTACTAGCTATAGAACACACACTAGCGTATATAAAATGAACATTACATACAAATCTCATAATATTAGTCAGATTAGAATAGTTCTTAACAGAACACAGTTTTTATGGGATATAATCACTTGTTTTTATTCTGAAAGCACGACGTTTCGACAAGTATAGTCTTATCGTTATCAAGCACAATGATATTTAGTTCAATATATATGAAATTATTACACACTCTTATATATTTATCTTCAAGATTACTAATCTGACGAGGACACTTAATTGCCACATCCCCATATTGACGTTGAACATAATCTTATATATATTGAACTCGAGTTTACTAAATGTCATTGTGCTTGATAACGATAAGAGGATACTTGTCGAAACGTCGTGCTTTCAGAATAAAAACTAGTGATCGTATCCCATAAAAACTGTGTTCTGTTAATGTGTTTCCCGATCGCTAAATGCCACTTAGATAACAAGATTAGTCATGTTTATTCCGATCTACATTTTGATACTGAACAAGACCAAAGGGCAGTGTGATGTTGAATCGTTTTTCGTTATTCGGTATTCACCAATAACGAATAACGAGGTGATCACCTCGTATAACGAGGGACAAGCTACCTCGTTATTCGTTATTCAACTTTTTATTTGGAATTCAAATATGCAGCTAGCCATGACTAGAATGATGGATGCCAAGTATCCCCCAGTAGTATAAACACAACAAAACGACCTCTAGACGAAAAACAGTCCACATTGTTATTCAAGCAGCGAATAACGAGCTGTTTTCACGTCGTTATTCGGGATTCACATATGAAGGTGTTCATGTATCTTTAATGAGGATATTTTAGTATCTAATTCAAAACGATCACGAGACAACAATAGAATAATGGATTGCAAAGTATCCCCTATTGTAAATAATGTATGTATATATTTGTTACCGTAGTTTTTTTCTTCAGAAATGACTCGCATTTTTTTTATGTTCCCTGCCATCCTGTTTATATGCCCAATACTCATATTGAAACCTGTATAACTTGTCATATATCATTATATTTACATTATTCTCACCTTTCTTATGTTTGTTGTTTGAACACTTTGTATTTTCCCTTACTTGCATCTTTAACATTTTTTACATATACATGTACCTGATACCATCAAATCTTACTCTCACAATTAACATGCACAGTAAAAACACAAGAATCGTGGATAAAATAATGTGGAAAATTCTTTTATTTTTTTCATTAAAATTTCTTATCGTGGCTTGCGAAACTATCACATACCTTTCAAGTTGTTTCACTCTTTCTTTCTTCATCGCTCTTCTGAACTTACTTCTGCTTATCTTATGCGGCGACGTTCATCAGAAACCTTGACCAAGGAACATTAAGTTTATTCACTTGATGTTCGTAGTCTTGAACATAAAGTCTACAATCGCCTCGTTGAATTTTAAGACGATGACATCATTACTTTATCAGAAACATGGCTTGGGATAAACACAATATATTTACACATGCTCTTAAACAGAGACGATGGTTGCGGTGGCATCGCATTCCAATAGATTAAACCTAAAACAAGTTATCGCAAGCCCCACACGTATAACGCCTTATTCATCAAGTCTTCTTGATCTGTGTCTTACATCCTGTCCAGATCAAATCGTCTCTTCATATATATGTACTTGACGCCGGACTGGGTGACCACTGTCCAATACAAATTGAAATCTATAGTCATACCCCTGACGAACATGCTTATTCTCAGACAATCTGGAATTCTATGGACATTAATAATATTAATCTGTTGTTTTATAATAATTTCAATTGGAATCAATTTTACATTGAAAATGAAATGAAATGGGGGTTTAACGTCCCACTGTTCTGCTAATGAAGACGGGCATACGCCATACAGTGTGTTATGAGGGAAATTTTGCCCGGGCATCAGCACTATGGCCTACTCTTATATCGAATTCCAGCTGCCAAGGGATCTTTTACGTGCACGCCAATGTATATACGGGACCTCGGTTTTTCGTCCCATCCGAACGACTAGACCACTGTTCTTGTCAGGCCCCCCTTCCTGCACCACTGATAAAGGGAAACCACGTCGGAAAATCCCGATGAACTTTCTCTGCCAATGCAGGGATATCGAGCCAGCGTCTTACCCACTTAATCACCGTGGCTCCTTACATTAAAAAGCACTTACTTCCAAATGTTTAGTGAACAATATTTCTACTGTCATATCAACAGGTATTGATCTGTATGTACCGCACAAATGAACCACTGTTGTACGTACCCAAGATTGTCCGTGGAAGAATGGTCACATTCGTCGTAATATTCGTAAGCGAAATCGTCTCCATAAAAAAGCAAAGCGCTCCAATCTTCCAATAGACAGGGCTGACTTTCGACACCAACGAAATTATGTAATTAGCGAAGTTCTATCGACAAATTGACCGAGAAATAAATGACAAAAAGGGATATTCGATCTAAGATTAGCTACCAGCTACCTCTTTCTAAAAGTATTAGAGCATATCAGGCTCGTATATCTTATATATGGCCCCGAAACAGGCTATAATACTTTGTTATTGATCCAGACATACATAAGCATATTTCTGAATTTACAACATATACAGATTACCTATGTCATAAACATTATGGTAATTCAAATAGATAAATATTTCAAGTACGTGTACTGAAAGTTAAGGCATGGGAATTATGGTCAATTCTCAGATATCGGGGAGCCCGAAAAAATGGCCAATTTCAGGTGCCTATGTTTTCATTCAAAGTTTAGGACACTTTCAAACGACGTCGTTTTATAAACAATAACCAGTAACCTAAACGGGTACGAACCCCCTACTATTAAAAACAGGAGAATTTCTTACAAAAACTAATATATGAGAAATTGGTGAAAACAAGTTTAAAACTTTATTGGAATTTCATTTCTTTGAAAAAAATATTTACTTAATAGATCGAAAAATTCCTAGCCTATGAATGGCGTTTATACTGAACTATAAAATATTTAATCACTCATAAATATAAACTTTAAATTGATGCCCTTTTTTTATACATGAACACATACGCGACGATATGTATTTTTTTTACAGTTTTATATATTCTATATCAAAGTGTTTATGTTTAATAAATATTTCATTCTCTTGCCGGGATTATTCACCTTGAAGCGAAAACCGTGTCAGTGTATTCAGAAAATTATATCCATTCAGCGAGGTGCATTCATGACTCACAAAAGGGTAGTATTTAACGGTTACGTATGCACACCACTGATTCAGAATATTATATCTATTCAGCGAGGTGCATTCATGACTCACAAAGCGGTAATATTTAACGGTTACGTCTGGACATAGTTCTAAAACATGAAATATGCATTTTTATATAGTAATATAATGAGAATTTAACAATCACAAGAATGTGTCTGGGTGGTTTTGATAAATTTAAGGCAATTTCAGCTCTGATGAGTTATTTCCCATTTCCAAAATGCCAATTTCCGTAAGCCTAACATCCAGTGAGGTAGATGATTAATTGACACAACCGCCACGGATATACACTATTAATTAGTGTACCCCACTCAGTTAATCACGGGATGTGTTCATTGGAAGATCTTTGAAGTTATGATCTGTTTCTTGTAAAGTAACTAAACCAATGTCAATGATATGTTTTTCAATTATTTCCTTTAATTTTTTTGTATCTTTTACTCAGAGTAATTACATCAATAATATGTTTTTAAATTATGTTTTTTTTAAAATTCTTTTATTTTATTAATCATTTACTCACTGGGTAGATTT